AGCAAATATAATAAAAGCGAAGCAAATACATTAATGGGGACACAAATTCTTATTTTAGGGGAATTAATAATTGCATGACTCTTTAAATTTCTTATTCGTTTCTAGAATGGCGCACACTCCCGACTGGAGGGTGCGCAAGATTGCGTGCAAGGTCATTGAACCCTAACACAAAATATCGAACAGCAAAATACATAATGTTGCTATTTCAACTTCTGCCCTCATTCTCCAATGTTAGGTCATGGATACGCCAAATGCCAAAGAACAAAAATATTACAACAATGGGGCGAAGTAGGGCGCCGGCTTTTGTTTAAGCCACCCAGTGGGCGCGCGAAATCCCCAACAATAAAAACTGCAAAAATAGAGATACCACCTAGATTACACCCATTAATTAAAGTCTGTTTGATACTAGCAATTGATAAAGCGACCTGCGAATTTTATTACATGACGTCTGTAGATACGGAGCGAGCGAAGCGCGCCACTTATTCTACATTGTAATCAAAACACCCTGGTATTTTCTCGCCAAAATATAATTTACGATATGTACAGTTATGCATACATTAAAACAATCATATTGTTATATCTGAAGAAAATTCATTGATAACAATGAACTATAATAACTTTAGTAGGTAATAATGATATTCAGCTCAGCAACAACGTGAAAAAATTCTTACCAGAAATAGCTGAAACTGTACCACCGCTTCAGGAGAGCCGCAAGGGTCAAACCTTGATCTCTTGATGTTTCTCATTCTTATAAATGAGCTGTACGCGTTTATACTATTGTATTATATAAATAAACAGTATTTTGTTTGTTTTGTTTTTAAACTACTGAACAATTTTCTTAATTGTGATGAAATAGTATCATTAATACCTATTGCTGCATTTAATACTCGAAGTGCACTCTTGTTTAAATTGGAAACTTGTACAAATAATTTAATGTATTCACCGTTGAATAACACGCTTACGGTAGCTAACAGTTTTTGCAGTTCTGTTAATTTTTTTAATGTATTGTTGACCGTGTTCACAGGATAACTGTTACTCAGCAGAGTGATTAGTGATTACTTGATTTGTTGTTTGTTTTATTACCGTTCTGAAAAAACTAATTCTTAATTGGCGCTGGAGAAAGACACGGTCATAAATCACCCAATGAATTCAGATTCGGTGTCACTTTTTCGTAGGAAAAAGCGTCGTATGTGACTTTTGTCCATTTACGTGATGAACGGGCGCCTACTCTGCAATTAAATCTCAGCAATGTGTAGCATTATTGTCCGAGGCGGTCTCTTTCAAGACAACAATGCACTCAACGATCATTCTTGTGCGCCACTTTACGCTAATATCGTTTAAAAACAAAACAAATCCGACTTAAAAATAACAAATTAACGCACGTTCAACGCCGACGGATGTATAAATATACCCGTCTTGATTTATTGCGAAAATATTTTGTGTCGAGTGTTTTTCATTTGGGGAGAACTCGGCCGAGTTTCTAATTTCACGAATATTGGGTGAATTCGTGGAATTGCCTTGCCGATAATCAAAAGTCGGCGAGTGGGAGTTTGATGAGCTTGTCAAAATATCGGATACTTGGAATACAAATACGGCAGGGAGGTTTGTTACGGCCGTAAAAGTGTATAGGTGTAGCCGATATTTTCATCAGTTGTGGATAAAACTGAGTGGTCGTAAAATCGGACGCATAATGGAAAAGGTCGTCAACTCTGCCCTCAACTGACATTTCTGCATTTTATTAATCATAATTGGGAGGTGGAAGAATTCGCTGTATAACTTAACGATTTGCTGGAATGGGCCATAACTCTCCAGCTACGACAAAAAATTCCGGCGGGAATCTTGCCTAGCGAGCAATCTCGTTGGGGGAGCCGAATAAAGCAAATAACTAGAATTCGGATTTTATTTAATTTTAGCCAACTCGGTCGAATTTCGTTGACGCGCTTAACCACGATTCTGACCACTGGAACGCATCGCCGATTTTTCAAATAACGAAAGATCGGAAGGAAATGGCGGCTTAGACAAAGAGTTCGAAGGATGTATTATTAAGAAATTCTAACCGAGCGAGATAGCTGCACACCGTCTGGTCTTATTCAAAAGCTTGTAGGCTTAAAACAACGAACAAAAGCAAATAACAATACTGGTTGTAGACGAGATAAATAAAAATAAAATTCGTGATAAAAAAACATCAATTCCGCAAAGGAATAATGCAGATACTCGAAAAATGTTCAAACAAAACCTACATGTCGGGTTGAGTACGAAAATAAAAGACTCCGTATTTTACGTGAAAAGAAGACATGGGAAGCTTTATTTTCGGTTAATCAGACTTCTCCAATACTGTTATTGCGTCATTATTTTTAATGCGGCCGCATATATTTTTCCTTTCTAATGGCTTTTCACCGTGCAGTCTTACAATAAACTGAGAATATAACGTTACATCATTCACTTTGTTAAGAATCAAAACATCGAAAACATTACAAGCGATATCGGTAGACTGAAAAAGACAGGAAATGGATCCACAAGAACTGCTGTTTATTTCATGTTGTTTTTCAAACGTGTTAATGATTTTAAAAGCGGAAGCGTCAACTGTTTGCGTACTAAAAATGTCAAAATTTAACACAACACGGAACTATTTTAAAAGAGTGCCGTATAAATATTATTTTACCATCATTTTACCATTGATCTCTATGGAGCTTAAGCCCGTGCTACTTTTTGGTCAATTATTTAACATTAAATTCCAATAGTTGCTACATGACTTTTTTCTCGATCATATGGTACAAATCAAGTGTTAAATTTTGTCGAAACAACATGCTCAACTGTGCACAGCTGATTATTCGAATTATATAGTCTACAGTTAAAATATAACTGAAAATCGTTTCCATGTTCCCCCGAGTTGTCACTTTGTCGATGGCTAGAACTTAACGATTTTCTGCAATCGACGTAACTCCCCTCCTTTAGAAAAAGTCCTGGTAGGAATTCTACCTGTCGGATTAGGTTTTGTCCCTAAATAACAAAGATGTTGTTCTTGTCGTAACTTACAGTGCATTTGCTTATCTGTACAAGTTCCGCTATCGTCGGTCTGAAGGTTTAGAAAGCGGGTCATTACCAAAATTTGTGCAATTTGCGCCCAATGATATTTTGACAAAAGGTGTCCCATTTCACCGAGCTCCACTTATTCTAATACCGTACTTCCGCCGAATCTGGGCCATGTGTACTACTCTATCATGCATCAGCTGATATGCGAGCGAGAAGGACGGTATATTGGAATTTCAAACTGAGTTCCCACACTACCGAATCTTGTCCAGACGGGGGTTGGGACTCCTGGGTTTTGAACCGAAGGGTTTTGAACCCTGCGTCTGGCACGGCCATATTTCGACGACCTTTCTGAACAGACGTATTTCGAATATAATTGAAACACGCAGGTGTATGGAATATTCGTACGTGTGCTAAAATGTATTGAACGGACTTTCACTTAATTGAATTTCAAGTCGTGCTTTGTGCTTCCATCATGCAAAAATGCGGGATCTTGAGATCGGATACTCCAAGAATTAACCGTCCATAGTCCCGAGATAAGGAAGGATCGATAAATCCCAGCATTTAAGAAATTTTTTTAATTTGGATTAGGACGGTCGAGAGCTCGTGTGGATGCTGAGAGACTGTTTTGATTAAATTTGAGGAAATTTAATTGGGTGTTCGTCTCCAGGCGAGCACGTGGTTTACATATAGATCGAAATATGTATATGTGTATAGGATATCTTTGAGCTCGGATATCACGACTATCGAAGGAAAATTAAACTCGGATTGTTTTAAACCTGAAAATAGGTGAAACGCGATACTTGACATTGTGAAAGCATTTACAATTAATATGAATTCTTAAAATTAAAATTCACGCTCACCGTAAACTACCAACTATTGCAGTGATTTTCCCTAATTATGACTGATCACTTGTATACATATTGTACATTTAAGTTGATACCAAACTCTGTAAAGTGCCGCTTTCTGTAATCATTAGTGACCTTTGAATGCGTAAAATGTAATATAAGAGCGATAATATCCATGCAAATGTGAAACATTTATTGGTTATATCAGCACAAAATTCCCTAAATTTTGGCTCTCCGTTAAAAACGTGCCAATTTCCGTTTTAATTTCCCGTAAAAGAAACCTCCCAATTTTCGAGAAAAAAAAACAACCACATGCCCCACCGTGTCTACGGACCCGAAAAACCAACTTGCCAAAAATTTAGAAAATACTTATTTTTTTGACTTATTGGTTAGGGCACATCGACGCGGCCTCATTCCTAAAGCATAATTTTTTACTCACCACAATAGCCATACACATTGAAAATAGGGTTGACTGGTTAATTTTTTGAAATCCACGAAGTGTGGATAGAACGATAATCACGGCACAAAAGCGGTTTGCACAAAACTAGTTAGAAACCTTTTAATAGGCTGGGCAAGATGGTTCTCGGGCAATTTCGACTGACGTCAGAGCTACCCCCACTCCCGACGACATGACGACAAAGTCGCTGTGACGTCACGGTAATCATACCTTGTTCTTCTTTACAATTGCCATAACGCCGTCTTTGTTTACTCCGGGGGCTAAATTTGTCGTACAGTCTGCGTAGCAAGTAGCGTATCGACCGCGTCGAATTCGCCGAATTACAATTACTCATCCTCGGGTTAGGCAACCCTTCGTACGGATTGAACAAGATTTTATGAAATGGTGCAACGTTGCGTAGTTCGACAGCAAATCAAACACTTTTCAGCGACCATGTTTACAACTATTTTTACTTTGTGCTCGTTGCACCATATGTGGCCTGTTCTATAATTAGATGTTTCCACACCAGCGACATTTAGGTGTCACCAAGACACGTGCTTTATCATCAAAGTTCACAAGTTCCGACAGTGATGGAATTAAAAACAAACATGTCAACAACAACTTTTAATAATAAACTTTTACAGATTCGAGGACAAAATAAACTTACAGCAGAAGAGATTACTTACTTCTCAGCAGTTGCACAAAATTCTAAGTTGAACGTAAGTTTTTCGACTACTCGTTACATTGGATATGTTTTAATGGATTTGTGCCGATTTCGCTGATTGTCGATGTTAAATTTTTTAAGCAAATTCATGCATAGTGTTCCTGAAGTGTGCTGAGAAGTATGATACGCATGCGTGACTTAGCTTCATGCGCATACGTACTTATATCTAAGGTCTAGGAATTTTGATTTGATCGCTTACACATTAAATGAAATGGGTTACAGAGTAGAGAAGGCGTGTTAGACTAAGAAGCCTAGATAGAGTGATTGATGAAAATGAGTAACAATATTGTGAAATAAAACAAAAACTGTTGTTTTAGATTGTATTAAAAATGGATACAGCGTGACAAAATAGAATTTATGGACTTTTCAAATTTCTGAAGCGATGAACCCTTTAAATAGTAAAATAATTCTGTTAGTAGAGTAAAAATAAATTTCTTTGATTAATTATTAACGGAGAATGATTGTTCCATTTAAAGGGTCGATTACAACAAATGACAAAAGTTCGATAACCGAAAAGAATTGAGCATTGTAGATTTTGTTTTGTTCAATTACTATCAACAAAGTATCAAAAACCACAGATGTGCTTTAAATTTATTTAAGATATATTGCACTAATAAATATATAATATAGGCCTCTATGAGTTAATTGAATTTAAACAAATTCTACATGTGTGTTGATAATTACCTTATGGGCAATCGATTAGTAGTTATTTAAATACATAAATTTCAATAATGTGGCACTGTTTTATTGCAATATTTAATACGTAAATTAAAACTAAGTGTAATAAGTACACAATAGATCTAGACCTAGCAACTTATTCATTGGAATGTCGTTCATAAATTATGTACGAAATGTCATAAAAATAAAAACATTTTATACAGTTAATGTTAAATTGACCGAGAGATCACAAAGAGAAACACACGTCTCCTAAACTAACATCCGAACTTTGATAGTTTCCGCAATGGCTGACTCTTTCTCTTTCTCAGCTACCACGGAAGTAAGATCACAGTTCGCGGTAAACGAAGTAAGGGTTGAGTAGAAGAGATTCAATTAAACTAAAATCATTAAGTAATTAATAAATAAAAATCGTAAAAAATAAAGAATCAAACTAAAAAAAAAAGAAAGTTAAAATATAGCTCGCCTACGTCATACGCGGTAAAATCCATAGCAAATTTTAAAAACCTATACGTCTTTAAGGCAGGAATCACTAAAGATGTAAGTGCATTTATAAGTTACTTAAAATAAGTCTATGAGTGTCGCCTTTCCAAGCTAGTGCGTTGTTCATCTTCACCTGGAGACTTGACATCTTCCTCGGAAATATTTACATCGGTCGGGCTTACCACATTAGAAAGTATTTCAGTTTTTGTGGTAACGCCAGCAGAACCATTTTCATCGTGTTTAGGTGACGTTGGACATGAATAAGTGGACACGGAGCTTAAATTCCTCCTATGACCGGATTCGGGTTTTTCCTCAAACACTGACCACAAATTAATAAAAGTGAGACTTTCCTGTCGCTATACTTACACTTATCTAGGCTTATAATTGACCCCACGATTTCATTTGTTGTTATGCCGCCAGCTTCGTCCAGGTGCTTGCGACGTCGTACCAACCACCAGTCCACCATGAATATACCTAGAGCCAGAATTTTAATGCCTGCACAAAGTCCTACATATCTATAGCGGAATTGCTCGATGTCATACAGGAGGCATCGGCCCCCTTTAGAGCCACAGGTACTCTTCCAGAGTAAACAAGTTGAGTCAATCAAGTTACCAAACAGAATTGGAGCCGGTATATAACCAAATAACCGAAATATCACAAACTGCATCCCTAAGGCAAACGAACGCTCTTCTTCATTTACAGATCTGCAAAGATCAGAGTTCGTTTTGTCGTCTGTACTGGAGAATCTACTTACCTTAAAACTATCATAAGTAATGGCATCTGCGTTATAGCCACTATAAACGTCATAAAGAATAGAAGTATCAAAAATGGATATATCGTATGACAAGATGAATTGCAAGGACCAGCAGTTGCAACAGGAACAACAGTGACTTCAGCGTATTCACTATTAGTTCTAGCAGCAAGATTTACGGACGAAGTTGTTCCACTCAGGCTCATATTTCCGTGAATACCTGTAACGTTCGACATGGCTACATTGATTTTCACTTGACGGATCTACTTACAGGCACAATTGGTATAATCAGATCTTAATGTTGATGTGCAGCCGGCATGACAAGGGCTAAAATAAGTTAAACCGTTGTTGCCACATACTGGTTCTACATCGTTCATGCTACATTCACATCCAAAGTTGCACGACGACGTCAAATTCACTTGGAAAGGTTCAGCGTGGGTGCTGTTAAAGTAAGGAATAGTGGTTCCGGCCATTTTCAAATTATCACAACCCAGGAAAAACAACAAAACGTAACAAATTAAACATATTATATTGGAGATAAGAACGAACTGAACGGCACCCTTGGGACGCAGCTCCATTCTTTTTAAAATACAGCCGCCCATGAAGATACCAATGCATGCACCAGGAATTGCGATGGATCCTTTAAAGCCGTGGAATCAGTAAGGTACATTTTAGGAAAGTCTCTATTACCTGTGAATACACTCGCTTGACTTTTACCTAAACTAAATTGTGTTTCTAGATACTTTGGTAAAAACACCACGAACCCTGATACAATTATTAATTCCATACATGCTCCTAGACATGTAACTATATAAATAGGATTACAAGCAAGACGCCACATTGAACGAGGAATATCTAAAAGAAAAACACAACGTCAAGAGTGCCTAACACTTTTCCACGAACAAACCTTTAATGTCTTTGCCATACCCTGAATCATTTTTAGTCATAGGCGCTGTTGCGTGTTGATTAGTATTGGTAGTGGTAGTAGCAGCAGCAGTACTACTTCCAGCAGCAGCAGCTTTTTCAGTTAAACGAATTTTCTCTTTTTCGTGCGTAAGAACTTTAGGAAAAGAGAAGAAGGGAATTGACACGAAAATTAGAAGAAGACCTCCTAATAAAAATCCACCCCACCACATCCCCACCCATCTGCTGTCACCAGCATCTGCAAGCATTGATTAACAAATGGTGACGCTCACACTAAATTGTTACCTATTGATATAATTTTGGAGAAAGAATCCATGTGGAAAGACAGCAAATATGCGCCCAGTAAGAACCCGAGCACGGGACCGAACGCAGCCATACTGTACATACAGCCTAGAAAAAATAATTTCAAAGTGCATTTTGCCTGTGAGATCGCAATTTATGATTAGTCAGACTGTTCAAAGTTTCATATATTGGTAGAAATTGTGTCTCCCGCTGGCCGGATCGTGCAATAAACCCTCGTACGTGTGGTGCCAAAAACGCGTCCCGAAAATTTTGACACTCATTCGAGATTTAAATTCTGTTGATGAATCAAAAAATCACGGCAGGTCTGACCATTTGTGAAAAATACATGTTTTAGAATTTATATATTCACTAAAGCCCGGTATAACTATCTCTGTCTAACACGTTCGGCGGCACTAAAGCACCGTGCGTGTGGGGTATCGAGTGCGGATTTTTTCTAACTTTTTTATGTCCCAGAGGTGGAAATGCACGGGTCGTAAGTTTGTAGTTCGACCCGACTTGTACGGAAGGTGCGTAAAGATGTCGTCGGTTATTCCGGAGGTGAATTTTTCTGAGCGAAATTTCTGCTTGATTGGTCAGGGTGTCCCTGTCGTGTTCGTGTGCGACGATCTGTCACGACGTAAAACTGATATAGAAAGTTTTTTGGTTGAGTCACCCTTCTGTGCACTTCTCGTTGCACGTAATGAGTCAAGAAGAATGATTTTGTTACGTGTAATTTCCATAATGGTAATGCGAGGATTAACATTAACGGGACAGTGTTCACGCCATTTAGTCTTGGCGGTGTTTGAACCGAAAGTGTGACCCTTCGCGTAGCCTTGAATATGAAGCAGTAAATGTCATATGAGGAGTGGTTATGAGATGTGACAGTAGACAGTTTTAGGATTGTCTGGTGAAAATAAATGAGAAAATTAGTAGCAAGGTCACAGGGTCCATAAGCAAGAAGTAATTTGTGAGGTAGAGAACATGAGTTGCAGGTGAATCAATAAAAGTTTCATTAAGTTCTAAGATCAATAATACTGAACCTGCAGCGTGATTATTATTTATGAGTGAACTTTGACATTTAGATCTAGCAAGATGGCAAAGCGATACTTACCGATATAAATAGAAGAACTCTCTGGTCGTACATGATCATCAACGTAAGTTGTTCCCAATGTGAATAATGGCGAACCTCCACAGCCTAATAACAATTGTGCAAGTACGAATAACAATACTGGTCCAGTCGTTGAAGGAGAACCCTGAATGCAGTTGTCACCCCTGAGGTTATTAGGGGCTAGAGGTGGTGACGACAAACCAGAGGACAGCCGTCCCAGGCCCATATCTTCTTCGTGAACTGATATAACGCGACACATATTTTCGTCTGTATTGTTTATTACCACCTCACCGACGTTCTCGTCACCGATAAAGTGCGGTACCATGAAAATCAGAGACCCAACACCCATAATCACGGCACCTACGCCGATCCACACCGGGATATGGCGCCGACTCCCCAAATAACTAACAAATATTACGGTTATCACATTACCCATTTCGTACGACGACGCAATTAATCCTGAAAGACTCGATGGAATCTCAAAACGCTTTTCAATGGTTGTTATCACAGAATTGATATATCCGGAGCTTAACGCTTGTTGCAAAGTAACGAGGAATGATAAAAGAAAAACAAAACACTGAAAAGAAAAACTGTAGCAAAAACCTTTTCTCCTTCGACCTATACCTTAATTCCTGCATATTTTTGAATGAAGGAGGGTCGGCACTTAAGGATTCCGCATTCTTTTGTATCCCTTAATATCACAGGTGGTGGGTCTGAGTATGTCGTGGCATGTGCAGCTTTGTCCCTGCAAACCACAACGCTATTAAAAATACGAAATAACAGAATGACGAAAGAACCTATCAAAACCGGCCGATGGGTTACGACTGTGACATTTTATAACGGTGTCATGACAAAATGTCGTCGAACATTTCGTATCCGCTGTACCATTGTCTTCGGGAACACTTTCAGAGTAAAGTCCTGTCATTGCGTACATGGACTCCTGCCGTCGATGACCCTTGCAATGGCTGGTGGAAGCGTCGCTTCCACCATTGCTGGTGGCACCCGGAGCTGTACCCGTCATTATAACTGACGGACTCGCTTGGGCATCAGTCGAGCGTCAATTTTGATATCATGAGCATATCTGAAACACAACACGTTGGGGTTAAAATAAAAAAATTTTGAAACAGACAAAGGCGATTTGCCCAGGGTCAAAATGTAAAAAAACAAAAAATGCGCTGTGTAATTGTGGCTGACAAAGGTTTGTACGAGCTTTTAGAGATCTACATTCTACAACATGACATTTTTCGTGAGGTCATCTCAAACACACAAACGCGTCAAGAGGGAAAGCGGAGCCCAGGGCTAAAATAAAAAAAAAATTAAAAAAAAAAACCACAAAGATAATTTTGCGTCGCAATCGTTTGTAAGCCCTTCAGTGATCAACAACATGACAGTTTTCGTGAATTCATCTTAAATACAGAAACGCGTTGCAAAAAGAACGGAGCCCGGGGCTAAAAAAAATGGCGCAAGAGTAATTTTGCGTCACAACGGTTCGCACGCCCTTTTTGTGATCTACGGCAAGATATTTTTCGTGAACGCAGCTGAAGAAACGTACTCAGAGATTCGAGAACTCAAGGTTAAAAGAAAAAAAAAAGTGCGTTTCGCGCATCGTTTGAGTAATCAACAATATGTTTTTTTGTCGTAATTGAAAGGAAGCTCGCTTCGCTCGGTTTTTTAGTGACTTGGGTGCTTTGTTTCTGTTTTTGACTAGTTTTCGCGCGGTCACAACAACGAACAGCGACTTACCAGTACTGGTACTATCTAGTACTAGATACAGTTCTTCGTTCACTATTCTGTTAAGGTGGTTTTAGGTTTAAGTTTTAAGTTTTAGTTTGGTTTAAGTTGTCAGTAGTTGTGTCGGTCGTCCGCGATTCAGAGTTAGTCGAGTATCGAGATGATCGAGTTGCTTGGTTTCAGGTTGCGAGAAGCGTGTCGGAAGTTGTGCGTCAGGCTTCACAATGCCTTTTTTTTTCAGGCTGGTAGTTATGATTCGAATTTTGCGCATGCGTGGATTGGAAATGCCGCGCAAGTAGGTTCCATCCAAAATTGAATTTCTGTAATGAAGTGATGGTGGTGAAAAGCCATTAAGTTATATTTGCCGGTGTTTAAAATTAGTCACTTCCAGTCGAGTATGAAACAAATGATGAAATCAGTCGACAGGTGCTGGTGATCTGGCAGCCCTCAAAAATTTTTCAAATGTTAGTAGTTGCAGCGAATTTGAATCTATTATTAAATGAAACATCACCTTGTGCCGTAAATACCAGAAAAAATGACGAGTTTAAAGCCGTGTTGCTAACTAGTGCATTCTTGTCTCACGGGCTCAAATCCGCAATTGTCCTAATGAAATTACTTTCGATCGAAGAGACCTGTTCTAAATGATAATTTCTCGCCTAAGCTCCCTTAAATCCACTTCTTCGAAATAATTTCTTGCGAGAGAAGATTATTGTTTGCCTCAACTTTGAAACCAATTTACTGGCGCAATTCGATTTATAACCTGGCCAAAAATATTTTTTGCACGTCGCTTCGCGAAATTGGAAATTGTTTCTCGCTCGGAAATACTTTCTCACGAGTAAATAAAGAGCTTTTAAAAAATTACCCATTGAGGCAGAGGCGAAGCCGCTCGTTCGCTTAAAATCCTGTTTGCTAACAAAAAAACATTGACAGGCATTTTAATTTTTATTTGCTCCGTAATTCGGTTCGCCTGTCTGCGCTACTGATTATGCGATTCCACAACCTCCGTTATTTACACGGAAAATATCCGATTATGCTTTAGCTATCGATCGCTCTGTTGAAAATTTTGTATTTTACGTTGTCGTGTCGACGAATCCTTAAATTCTCTAGATGCCGATGGAAATTTCGCTAGCTCGGCTGAATTTTAGATTAATGGGAATTTTTTACTCCTTTATGGTCCTCAAGATTTATTGAACAACGACCGAAGGAATACACATTAAATCGATTTATTATAACGAGGTTACCGATGAAAAACTTCTTTAACAATGTATTAGTCTACTAGTAGACAAATAGATCTCCTGCTGTGTAAAAGAGGCCGAATTTTGCATACGGCTTCCTACACAGTTAAATCACTCCAAATGTTTACTCCAAATAGTTCTCTACCCTTCGGATAAATGAAAATCCGGACTGCTGGAAATCTTTAATTACTCTTTGTAGAATCACAACAGCGTAAAATGAAGTAAATATACAGAGTGCAGCGTGTGGAAATAAAGTTAAATACAAAACGAATATGTGATCATTCGTTTGAATTAACAGTAATTAAGCTTTTGCCGAAGATTCGGCTCGCCAACCTTCACCTTTCCACATGCTGCATCTAACCATTCTTGACTCATTCTATTCCACATCCTGAAACTTCTCTATTATTTTTACCTTTTTATCGTACACTATTAACTTTACTACTTTTGATGCAGATTAATCGACCATAATTTCATGTACATATATGTAATGCAGTCGTTCCAATGCACGTAATGTATAAACCACTACACGTACACAAAATATATTACAGTCGCCAACTTACCACTTTTTGGGCTCTTCATATCCATAAAATATGATCGTAAAGTATGTTGAAAAGAAACAGGTTTGGGCGCAAATTCAAACTCCCTGAACCTCAACAGAATTTTCACGGCTAGTCAAAGGTAAGTTTAATACACACGACCAAGTTACGAGACACAGGATTTTTCAAACTGTGTGCCCTGTTGTTTGCAGTGAATAACCTACATCGAAAGTAATACAGTAGCTATTTTTGTTTCTATAAAAACAACGTGAAGTAATAATGTGTGTAGTGTTTACACTAATTACGTCGCAGGATACACAGATTTCTCAAATTTATTACGTGAATTGGATATCTTGTTTGTTTAATATATCGTTAAAGAGCCTCTGTAAACAAGCCGAAACTACACGTATTGTGTGTATGTTTTCAAACTGACACGTGATACACCTGTGCGACTCCCGATTCGTGTGGAGCAAATATTTTGAATCGTACTTACTCATTTCGGCGACTCTTGAAGTTGCAAATTAGTAACAAAATAGAAACTGCGTCAATTAGAGAGTCACACAAGCACAACACAATCGAGCCGTACTTCTACTTTTCTTTAATTGAACGTTTAATTGTTCAAAAACATGCGATAACCGATAACGAAGACAAGTATACCACATGCCAGCTAAGAATTCGATTATTTTGCTGTGATGATTCATGTTTAAATACGTTTACTTCAACCACCTGAGCTCGTTCTGGAAAATATGGATTGAAGTTTCGAATTTTTTACGCGGCACAGATGTTGTTGTTTTTTTTTTTTAATATAAACAGCATTCCACTGTTTAGACTAAGTAAAAGTTATATATCCAGCACGCTGTTTTATTTTAATAATAATTAAATTGGCAATGTTGTAGATTTTCCTTTCATAAAATAAATTGCGTGACCTTGCACTAATAAAGTAGCTCCAGTTTAATACAACTTGCAAATATGATGTAACAACTCTGCAAAATCTTGGTGATACGTGAACTCCGAGAAAAAAAGTGAAAATAAATCGAAGATAAAAACTTTCTTTGTCCTACAAGCGAATATTAAAGAACTTTCACGCTTTTCAGCGATAAAAAATGTAATTTTGTGATGCTGCTATTAAAAAATTCTGAATGAAATTATATTGGTCTAAATGTATTGCGTATATACAGCGATGGAGTCTTTGTTGTTGAATGAATAACATTTTAATCTTGTTCGCTCGAATGAACGAACAAAAGATAAAGCAGTGTTGCTTCAGAAAAACTATAAATATTTAAATTTCGATAATTAATAACGGCACCAAAGCTGAATTTAATTGAGGCAGCTACTTTCTCTGCTCTTTGCGTCAATATGATGCTATAGAGATAAAAGTCGACTATGATAACTGTAAACTTGACGCAATGTATCTTCCATTATTTCCAAACTCGGGTTTGCGGTTTTTAGCTTTACGAAACTGTAATACCCTTTCATTTCGTTACAATTAATTTACGACGGTTGAAACTCATTTTTTTCCAAGATAGTGGTTTATTACGAGCGTATTTCACAACACACTACACCTGCTGGAACAATGCTTTTCTTTCCAGCAGTCACTCTTGTGGGACGCCGGAATTATCCGTCCAGTTATGGTAATAGCCTTTGTTTTAATTTCAGACTAATCAGTTTTTTGTTTCGAACAGAGGAGTCCCGCTATTGACCCAGGGGCGGACTGACCCGATGTGGACACACTCGGTGATACAATTTTCTTATCATGCTGTCTCTCTCTGATTCTCGCCCGGCTATAGTTTATTCGCTTCAGTTTAGAAAATATTTCGCGTATAAATGTTACCTACGCACTAGCATTTATGCGCCAGCCATAAAATGCTAATCGTCTTAAGGCGGAATTCCACGGTGTGTCGTGTGACACATCGGCCAGGTCAACCTGTCGTTACGGGCTCTGCGGTCGGCCACAATACCAAACCAACTCAAACGACGTTTGGCTGAACACCCCGTGGTATTCTTATTTTAGCATATTTTGGACCAAAAAGTTATATAATGAGTAAAAGATGTATCAAAATCTAGCGGATGCAGCGTTTACGACTTTCGCGTGTAACCTGGTGAAATAGAGTACAATAACCATTTTAACAACGCGCCGGGGAAGTTACAAAGCCGTGACGCTGGCTCCAGTGTTATATTTTTTATTGCTGTATTGTGTATGACGTTTACACAAAGCGAAGACCTTTTTCCCGTTTTGCCGAAGGCGTGTGGGCCTGCGGCCCTGCGGCGGTCCGACCCTGTATTGCCCTATTTTGGCTAATGAATGGCCGCAGCGGCCGCTGGTAATCACAACATCCATAAAAATTGTGTGCGGTTATGAATACAAATCCCATAAAATCATCCTTTTGGAGCATGTTTAGATACCGCAACTTTACAATATTCATCACGGTCATCTGGTACGGTATCATGGTCTGAAAAAGTGTGTTGCTTTTGAAACGGAAAATCGATCGGAAAAGTCACGCAACAACTTTTCGCATTTCAAGACACAATTTTCTGTGTCACCTGTTTCGGACATGGGAAAAATTCAAAGGGGTACGGTTTTAATTAATTATTGATTTTGGCCCGCGGATGGCAATGTGGGTAATAATTCACCAGTAATTAAACCAGCAAGTGTAAGGTTATTAACGTGTTAATCTGGCGGTCAGCGTTTGTGATTCATTCATTGCGGGAAAATTGAATTATTTAAACACCAGCAGACAGAGAAACTGAAGAACCGGCATTGATTTTACTTTGTTACAGACTTCAAAGCTCGAGTTCGTTTGATGTTATTGATTGAAATTGGCACTTTATGGAACGAGGAATCAGGGACTAACAAGGTCACGATTTGCTGCTTTTTGAGAGAAGTAGCCAGTGGTACCACTAGGGTACTAACGTGGTTAGTAAACAGTTGGGAGTACAGTTATGGGAGAAAAGAAGGTCAGCGGTACTGTAATAACACGACTAATTCTTAATACTAATTACGACTACTTGATTCACTTCTTCAAAGTTTTTAAAACGGAACGATAACGTAACAATTACAAGAGAAAAAGCAACAATAGCACCGCGATTAGTAGTCTAAATGTTAAAAGTCACCTCTTTTACCGTAACTTTCAAATTCACACCTACGTAATCGTTCGCTTGTGCTCGCTTCATTGAAGTACGCCTCTGCATTTAAACGAATTTGTTAAATTTGTTGACAAAATTTTAACGTTACTAATTAGTCGTATCCTTTTCACGAAAAAATGTACGAAAATAGGAAAAGCGTACTTTTAAAATTAATTAACACAAAAAATAGCCTTCGTATGAATGCAGGAACGGTAATTAAACAGTTTTACACGCATTACAACTTCCTCGATTTTTTCAAACTCGGTACATTCACGCTTCATGGTGCCATCATCCAAACGAATTACCAACCTAAGTTATAAATATCACAATAACCAGTTAACTATTTCAGCTATTTCGCCAACCATGACCGGATCAAAGATATTAAGAAAGGTCAAGTTTTAGATATACATTTCGCTCCAATCATGATTAATTTATTGCTGGAATTGCCACTTGATTCTTTTATACAGTATGTTCAGATGGGTACTCACCGTACCGGATCTTAAAGTAGGACATCCCGTGCTTCTAGAACCCATTATCTAAACCCATACATCTGGACGAAAACATAAACTACTATTTTTTTATATTTAATAACCCGTGCATAAATCATTCGCAACATGTTAAGGTACAAACACCCAACAGATGTCGGTTATGGCTGCTTTTACCTTCAAAATATTCGAGCTTATTTTTAATTTATTGATTGCTTCTTGATTTAAATCTCGCAGTCGTAAGGCTTGGATTAAGATCTCAGACAAGACGAGTTTTTATAGCGGAATTTCAACTTTAACGTGAACGCTGACTTTTTACTGTTGTCACGAATGATGAAAGAGAACTCTGAAATTCAATAACAAACGTCGTTTTTGACATTATTACACAGAACAACCCAAAGCACAAACAATACCGCATGAGGAATTTTTTGACATGACGTCATCAATTTTTCCGTGGGGAGCCATTAATGTGTAATATAATTGCCATTGTGTTCACACAATTTTGGAAAAAATAAATGAGACGCTTATGTTATCACAAAATTAGTCGGTTCACACCAGTTTTTCCTACGGTGGTCTGTGTAATCAATCAAAAAAACCTTGATAATTAAATATTCGCGAGTAACAATTTTTGGAGACCACGTCATCAAGTTTATCTTGCAGAATTTGACGAAAATTAAAAGGTGAATGAGAAATTTTGGTTACAACCCATGTAAGTATTAGAATGAAATATAATTTAATAAGTCTCGAGTGTAATTTTTTACCTAAATCCCCAAAATAACGTGACATCACCTCCGACACGACAGGATGGAAGTCGCAACAAACTACACCGTTATCTATTCCTGTCAAGGCCGCCTACACTGGAAAATATTTACACGCTAGGACAATTTTCTCGTTTTCTCGCAACCCCCAAATTCCTTATATTCGATGTTTTCTGTCATGCAAATTCCACCTTTGCGAGAATTTCAGATTGTCGATCCACCCATTATTACCAATTCAGTTGCTTTATTACACCAAACGCGAAATTCTTTCAAATTCCCAAGACGACTAAACTTATTATTATTGATCCTATTCCATGCAGGCAAAGTAGCGCCGCAATACAAGCATCCCCTGAGAACATCCCGTATATGCAAAATAAATTATGCTGTCAACTAGAATTTAGCTTGTACGAAGTTATTTTTAATGATGGAGGCGCGCGATACGAATTTAAAAAAAAATCTCTAAATAAATAACGGCCGCAATCTCGTGGGACAGTTATTCTAACGAATTATGGCGATTTCCCACGGTGGGATGTAATTTCCAGAACAATGGACCAGAAGGAGTACCACTGGGAAAGAGAAATCAATACGAGTCAATTAGGACAATCGGCACAAATGTACCGGGTCTACCTTAAAGACAAGGTTTAACCCGACGTGTGTGTTTTTTTAGTGACATTTGTATGCCTTCGGTTTTTGCGTCTTTTTGATCACTCTGTAGACTTGTTGGTTTTGGAGCGATATGCCGTAAGGCAGTATTTATGAATCGTTTTGATCTCTGGTGTATTTGACTTTCCGAAAATCCGAGGTTCTCGTTTGTTTTGATGAATTTGGTAAAGTACGGTATCTACTTTGTGTTTGCATGAATGGAAAAACGTTGTTTTCATTAGTGGTGAAATCCTTTGAGACACCTAGGCCAGCCACTGAATGTTTAATTGAAAATTTAACGATGTTTAACCCTTGCGAACCCCAGGGGCTGCGGTGTCGAGAAAAACGATATGATAATGTAGTTTCCTTTGTGTTTATGCATTTTAAAGTATACAGAAGCACATTAGTGGCTAAATAGTAGGCCAGGGTTGGAGGAATACGGAAAAAGTGTTTGTGTACATAGGCCGACACAAGTTTTGTCTTTTGTTTGTTGAGCATTAATTTGTGTGTCTACCGCAATATCAATATGAAGTTTCAGGAAAGGATATCGATCGGGAAATATTTTATGTATGGATTTGTTATTCCATCAGAAACGCTATTATTCTAATTGAATCAGTTTATATGGTAACGAAGAAAAACTATCCAATGACATGAAACAAGGTTGTTGGGTGGCTTACTTTAGAACAAATTATATCACGTTTGTGTTATGTTTTTCTGGACACGAAAAATAATTAATCTAAGTTGTTGACATAGCGTTATCGGTATGTCACACTGTTTGACCCAGATTGAAAAATCGTACACAACTAAGATCATATTCCATGCTTTCAAGTCATTATCAATCACGGCACGTTCCTATTGAAATTGATCTTCGGAAGCCTTGCATACGCTCGACTCAAATTCGTGAAAGTCAACCATGTAACCCGAGTTTTTGTAATCTTATGTGATAATTACAGTATTGTTGTTCGCTAGTCATAAACACTTTCTTTAATTGATGTTCATTCATAAACTTCCTGCTGTATGGATATCCATATCCATGCAAGGTCCGCTAGTACAAGTGAAAGTTGCTACTATATGGAGCATTATTGTAACGCAAAATGAATATTACGCACCTAAATTTCAGAATCAACGAAAATTATCGCACTCGTCACGGTTTTTTCAATTTCCAAGGAGACCTAATTGAAGTAGTATTGTCAATCGTAGTAGGCGTGATTTTTGCCGCCTTGTCTAAACAGTAATTATACTCAACAGTCAGTTTATGATCGGTAGTGTGTGTTGTTGCAAGGGAGCGGCAAATTCGGACAAATTAATTTCCTGCGGTAGTTAATAGTCCCTCTACAACGTGCGACGTACTTGACAAAAATGTACCTTTCTCTAGCTCGAAAAAGTGCCCCTAGCGATACCTCGAGCGTCTCAAGCTACTTTTAATCAGTTTTAGAAACCCCGAAATTTCTCGATACATTTTAATTTGCTACGCCTCTGCTATCAAAACTTTGCGTTTACGTTTTCCAAGGAGGCTCGACGTGGCGAAGGGTGCGATAATTGCACCCTTTTTAACAAGCCGAGGGACCGAGATTCGCGAAAGATACAATATCTTTGTTTGAACAATCAATAAGCGCTGGCGAAATTTAATTAAAAAGACAAACAAAATCTCCTAAAGATACACACTAAGCGGGAGGTGCGAACCGAAATAATTCACATATGTTCAGCCTCCACTGTGTACATTTACATTTGCAATTATTGTTTTGCGGAGATTTTGCAGCTGGAATCAAAATAACTCGACTTGACCGAACGTACAGTAGCAATACAAAGATACTGCCGTGTTTCCAAAGCCGTGTACGTACAGGTGCGAACTTGTCAATATTTGACTCTGTGTGGGAGATGTATAATTAGAAAATTGATGAAGCACCCGAACCCCTGTTGTCAAATTAAAATTCCGTTTGAAATTTCAACACGCCAATCAAAATTGCTGAATTGGAATAATTTGCTTTATTAAATTCAAATAGAAAGTCGCCTTTGAAAATTGTGCAACGCAGAAAAACAACTTCGTTCTTTGTTTAATAAACTTACCACCGACGGGCTCTCGTTGATGATAATAACAACAATAAAAAATCTTACTTGTGGGAGGTCAATGCATCCTTTAATATTCTTCGATTATCCGGGGATATATCAAAAATATCTCAATTAAATTTATCACAATACGCACACAACCACAGTTTTTAATTCATACATTTTATAACAATTTTATTATTTATTTATATACATGTAATTTTACGCACCACACGGAGACACAGTTAAGACAACACAGCTGTCTGTGCACGGTAGACTTGTGCACAGACAGGAGAGACAAAGACAACGAGAGAGAGAGAAAGTAAAAGAATGGACGAAGCGATAACGGCGCCATCCCCACGCGAACACACCAATTATAATGGCGCCAATTTGAAATGTTCGAACCTCATTGGTCAACTCATTGCATAAATCAACCAAAAATTAAAAAAAAATATGTATCAAATGTGACCAGTCCACTTTCTTTGCCACTGGCAAATGTGAAAATACTCTTATATTGTGACTAATAGTTGTTCCAAGAGGGAAAAAATAAAACACCATTTAAAATAAACGCAAAAGGCGATGTTATGTTTAATTTCTGATAAAAAAATCAATATACAATATATTATTTCTTTGAAGATAATATATAACATCCTAATAAATAATTACAACTTTGCTGTGTAACACATTCAAAAGTTCTTCCTTTTTTTAAATAAATACAATCTTGACGATTTAAGTACCACATCATGCAAATTCGGTTTTTCAAAATAATGAAATTACCAGGTATCCTATAACCTAATTTGTAACTGATATAGCTATATATCTTACGAAAAAAAAAACACGTAACGAACATATGGCTAACACATTTGCAAAAAATCGCTTATTAATCATTGAGATCCCAATTAAAACTAACATCTAGCATGTTATACTATGAATATAGTATGTAGTAGTTACGTAGCCAGTGCATAATTCAACACTTATTTCGTCATACTTCAAAATCTCGAATTATCTCAATGCAGCACTGTGACATCTGTTGATTAGACAGTTCAAGAATTTGAAATATGACCCAAGATTCGAAGGAATGAACTGAGCGAGCTACACCAAGAACTTATGATAACATATACTTTCTACAAGTTTAAAAAATCTTCGAATTGACACATATTGCATTACATACGGCTGAGAATATTAAAACATCTGCAATTGAAAACATTACTGTATAAGCGCATTGCAAATTAAAACCGTCACCAGTAATAGTTGTCTCTTGAAAGTATACCCAAGCGAAATTTTTGAATGTATTTTTTCGAAAAACAAGAGAACTCATTTGTTTACACACATATACAAACAATAAATATTCATATACCCAATTTTTACAGATCCATAACACATTTTTGAAATATACTTTTAATGAAATTTACATCGATCTGACATATATACATACATATAATTTGATAAAATTTAAAACGCCTCTCGAAACTCACTCCGATTCCACTCTAACATTAAAGAATTAATACATATGAGTATATTTTTAAGACACATACCATATATGTGTTGTCTTTTTAGTAGTGTATAACTAAAAAACCCCCAAAGCTAAAATATACAGAACTCGAAAATTAGGGATGCTGAGCGACTTAAACATAAATATTCAAGCAAATATATACAGAAAAAACAATCTTTTTTGTTTGGCAAGTTGCGTAATACTAAGCTAAAATTTTTGAACGGATTTGTTACAATCTTTCATCGTTTTAACACTCGGGATATTTTTTGTTGATGGATCACATGTAGACTGAGACTTGTTATCACTTTTGTTTTTTTGTGCCTTCTCGTCCGCCTTACTCCCCTCTCCTTTTTTCAAATCCCTCTCCGCGCTCTTATGGTACTCAGCTGTTTTATCACATTTCTTACTCTTATCCTGCTCTTGTATACTTTTATTGCAACTTTCAACCTTATCACATTTGCTTTTCTCCTTTTTATCCCTCTGCTGCACATTCTTATTTTTCTCGACCTTATCACATTTGTCTTTTTTGTCTTCCTGCCCGTTATTCGTAGGGGAGTCCTTTTCCTCTGCTATTCTCGGTAACAATTCACCTGGTCCGGACAAATTCAACGACAGACGACTATCCGAATTCGCTGTACTAGTCGCAACATCCACGGTCTGAGTGCTCGCTTCGCTCTCTGTTTCCTTCTCCTTCTCCGGCTGCGCGTTCGGCCTCCACACTGTACTCCCCGACCTCGCTTGGGCCTTCACGGGCGGCGAATTTCCCGACGAGCACAACGGCGAGATCGAACACTTGCTCTCCGCACTACGTGGATGCAAGCGGTCCGGGGAAAGGGCTCGTCGCAGTAAGGGTGACCCCGGCTCTGCACCTTTCGGTCTCACGAAACCCTTTTTGGACTGATTACAAACCGCTATAGGGGCCGTGCCTGCACTAGGACTGTAGGATTGTGTCGTGTTCGAACTGCCAGGTTGGTGCCCGACGGGAAATGCGAGTGGGCTGGGAGATCTAGTGGGTGACGCTGGCAAGGGTGAAGGTGAGGGTGTCCTCGCCAGGGGTGATAATGGTATGTGACCCACCGACTTTCGACGGTTAGGGACTGCAGTCGTGCACGAAGGACTAGCTGCATGCAACGCTTTCGGGCACGGACTCGAATGCAACTTATGTTTTAACCCGTGAAGGGTTGACGGTCTCTGGTAGTGTTGTTTATTATTACGATTACTGGCAACGGGGGTTGCGCTCGCGGAACTCGTAGATGTAGTTTGTGATGAAGAACTAGAATGTTGGTTGAAAGAATCAGAAAGAGTTAAATTAGAACGGTTAACGGGGGTGGGAGTCCGTATTGTACCAGAAGAAAAAGAACTGTCTTGGCTTCTCGGAAACGACTGGAAACTTCGACTGGGAGTAACACTTATCGGTGATTGAATACTTGCTGCCATCTAAAAAACACGATAGTGAGGGGGGTCCGTAAACCACTTACGTTTTACATACTTGTTGCATCTCGACGCTAGCTCTCTTGTTACTGATTTTTCTAAATAAAGAGGTCTTTCGTCTTTTATCGCTATCCCTCTTCTGTTTCCTTTGTCTGTGTAAACTTCTCTTCGCGAGTTTACTCTGACCGGGCTCCCGTTTACGTCCACCCGTTTTAATTGAGGTTTGTTCGAGTGGGGTCGCCCTCAAACTAACGTGTTCTGTACCGCTCAACAACAATTGCAGTACCTGAGTGTGGTAGAGACCTTGCACTGCTTCCCCGTTGATGTGAGTGATTAAATCGGCAGGTCGCAAGCCTGCTTCGAAAGCGGGACTACCCTCATCCACCGCCTACAACACCAAAGATAATCAATCAAATTAAATTTGGTACCACGGTAGTACCATCACTAAATGATGCATCGTGTAAACATCCGTGTCGCCGTAGTACACTCGTATCGTATGTACGGTGAAGCCGAACCCTTTGGGCCCTCTTCTAATGATAATGGGGGGTTTTAGGCTGGTAACGAGGGGCGATAACTCCCTACAGGGAGAAGCGTCCCTCGAACTAGCAGTACTAGACCCTCCACCCCCACTCGGGGAATGAATATTGTGAGTGGGTGCTTGAAACTCGTCTGAGGGTATCATCAACGACAACCCAGAAGTCGAGGCACTTTTCACCACAGACCTCGACTTATGTTTATTAGTAAGCTGCACTCTTCCCAGTGGCGACAATTCTCGATTTTCGGACGACGAAGTACCCGTTTCCAAACTACTGTGCTCATCTTCCACTGAAATGGAGAACTTGGGTAGAATGTCGCGAGAGTGACCAGTCTTACGCCTTCTTTGTATCTGCGGAGACACGTCGTCACTGTCCGTTTGCGACGATTCGGGCGTACTGATGGTTTTTCCGAAGTCCAACGAAATCTACAACACTGGTTAGTACTTTTACACTAAAAACCAAACTACCAACCTTTCTGTGTTCGATGGGGGCGATCTCCTGACGTTCTCTTTCTGGAGTTTGAAGACTGATGGGAGCTCGTGGTCGTAGTTTGAAATCGGGAACTTCTGGTGTGTCGGGTGTGGTGACCAAAGGTGCGTTTATTTTGACGCCGTCTAACGAAGTGTCAGCATCTGAGCTTGACAGTTTTGACACGTTGGCTTTACGGTATTGTGGGGAACACGATGAGAAGAGACCGAAGACGGGGGAATCGTCTGTGTCGTCGGTGTCGTCTTCCAGTTCATGGTTGTACCGGTCGATGCGACCTGCAAAGGTTAATTAGAACGAAAGAGAAGTTGGTTTAATTTTGCCGTACTGTCAAAATAGCTGGTGTCTTCGTCATGCTCCAACTGTGGTACAAACTCGGCTTTTTGGCGCAGCAACGAATTCCAGTCCAAGCCGTTGAAGTACACGTGTTCTTTCACCTCTTGGGCTCCACCCGTGCCTAATCTATCGCGTGGGGAATGTTGCAAGAGTGCGCTAATGAGATCTTTAGCTTCTTCTTGAACCGGCCAATCATCGTTGTCCGGCCATTCAATATCATCTACAAAATCGGGTTTAGTTGTGGAAGGTGGTACTAAACGATAATACCTTGGACAGTGTGAGCGAAAAGTTCCTCAGGAGTATCACCAAAGAAAGGAACACAACCTACTAGAAACTCGTAGAGAATAATACCCATGGACCACCAATCGACGGGTTTTCCGTACCCTTGTCTCAATATAACCTCTGGAGCTATATACTCGGGCGTACCAAATACCTGTTTGTCGGAAAACTGGCGAGCTTCTGTGTCCACGTACCCCTCGTAGAGATTAGTGGCCACTAGAACGTGATTTAGTTTTCTTTATCAAAACTCGGTTAAATATACTTACGGGACATCAAACCCATCTTGCTTAAGCCGAAATCCGTCAGTTTGATGTGCCCTAGCGCCGTTATAAGTAAGCTAGAAATGAATCATGACGCATCTTTTATCAAAACCACAGGGACATACTTATCTGGTTTCAAATCCCTATGAACTATACCGTAACTATGTAAATATTCTACAGCGAGAACAGTTTCGGCGAAGTAGAATCTCGCCATATCTGGTGGCAGTGGTCCAATGTTTTTAAGTAGACTAGCGCAGTCTCCGCCTTCTACGTATTCCATTACTAAGCACAAGTGCTTTTTAGTCTCAAAGCTGCAGTACATGCTAACAACGAAAGGATTGTCGGCGAAACTGAGTATATCGCGTTCAGCGAACACCTGTTCTACTTGGTTCCTTAATATCAGGTTGTTCTTGTTGATTTTCTTCATGGCGAACCTCTGTCTCGTGTGCTTGTGCTTGACCAAGTACACCGCTCCGTATGCTCCGTTCGATATTAATTTGACAACTTCGAAGTCTTGTTCGTTGGGATTAGAGAGAGACTTTTTCGTACTGGGCGTCGAGGTGAGGCAAACCGAAGATCGCGACGATTGGTTCGAGGACCAATTGCAATCGCGGAGCTCTTCTTGGAGTTCGGCGATAGGGTCTCTATTTAATCCCAACTTCTGGATGATGTACTGAGGAATATCAGCTTTGATACCTTGGACGACTTTGACTTGGCCTTCCGCGGCTTCTAGGAAATGGTAAAACTCTTCGGGGTCGAATTCTAAACATTCTAATAAACGAGCTGGTCTCGATATGATTAGCAGCAACTTTTTAATAAAACCTGTGACTAGATTAGCAGCTTCTTCAGACTTATCTTTTGTCTAAAAAAGAGGTAGCCGGCGGATTAGTGATTACTTTGTTATTAAAAGCCTTACTTCCGTTAATAGTCTTTCTAAATTCTCGGACATTTCATAGAAATACCGACTAGTGATTAATTTTGACTGTGATTTATGCAAGCAATCGCGGGCCATTTCCAGCACTTGATGATGAACAAAACGGACGATGGGAAGATAATCGCAATCTTCGCCAAAATCGAATGTTTTGTTCTCTTCGATGTAGTGACTAAGACGTTCTTCCATTTGCTGAGTGGCTTTCGGGAACCGCTCCTTGTACAGAACGTTCATCATGCAAATTTCGTTGTCCATGACCGGAGATCTGCTGGGGCTACTACAAAGGGCAACACAATACAGACCACTGCACGTTTTCGGGCAAAAAATAGTCATTAGACCATCTCGACGGGTTAGAACTACAAACCTAAGACTTCTAGATCGTGGCCTGTGTAAAGGTGAGCGATGTGTGATGGAGTTTTCTTCGTAATTACCACCCGGCAAAGAAGGGTTGCTTTCATTACTAGAAAAATGATGAGTGAGTATCCTCATGTCATCCGAGGTGGGAATATGTGGCAGTTGGTGCAGTCTTTCCTGACTTGAACATTTCGACTGAAACACGAATATAAAGTGACCCGAGTTGACAGCACCCCGACGGAAATACTTACGGACATGTTTGAACTTCCCGGGGTGGTCCCATAACCTGATGACGGCAAGGAGGCGACCGACCACCTCCTGCCATCTCCGCGACACCCAGCGACGATCCTGAAAGAAGCACTACAATTTGTTCACAACATTGAACACGAATCAAGTTATCTCACAACAAAACACATAACAAACAACACACAATTTATATCTTAATATAAGCGATAGTCTTTCATGCGCTTCACAACATCCTCTCTTAGAAACAGATACCTTTTAATCGGAGCGAAAGGAAAATTGATGAAACTATTATGTGTTCTGGGACTATCAATGGGGCTGCCACATATTGGTGACTGAGATCTTGGTAGTACAGGACTCGTATTGGCTACGAAACTTAACCGGTGAACTGCAGCAGGACGGCTGTTTCGGCGCCCCGCACCCACATCCTTCTACAAAAAACTCGTTAATCCAAAAACTATAAATATTCAATTTAACTACCATATTCACCGACAATGAAGGAGCCGACTTGCCTAGAGCTGAGCTGATTCGGACCAAATTCGACGGTGTCGTGTGATGATCTGAATTAGACAGGAGTTGAATATGGTCAAAGCAAGATTGACAGAAATGTGCAAGAGTGTTAGTTGATTTGGGTCAATGCGTGAAAAGCGAGGTAATGGTGACAATTGCAGAGTAAAACTTTTCAAGAGAAAGGGGGGGTGTGCCGGAGGCAAAACTGTAACGACTTAACGATTTTCGGTTTAAAATTATAGTTTCACAGTTAAAGTTATGACTTCCTCTTGGAAGTTAACCACACTACGATTGAGGCTTTTACGTGGTCATGATTATTCACTCAACACATATGGGGTATATCAGTTTTTACGTCAGAGGTATTTCTACAATCCATCCTCGTGTGTTTGATAAAAAGAGTTCAACGATCATGTCGAATGTGCAGCGAATGACTTGTGCTACTAGAATTTATTCTTACTCAACATGAAAATTTTCATTTTGATTTTATCTTTGACTTGGTCTCTTTCGCCGTATGTCCACATTTCCTATCTTCGTTAAAAAGAAAATGACTTTCCTGTGAAATTTACATCCAATGTTTACACAATTTGACTGAAAAGTGCCAACATATATACTTTGTAGCCAGAAGTGCTACACAAGGAACATCCTGTATCTCCACGAACTGCGAATTTTTTTTACGAATCAGCAACATTACGTCAAAATATTTACTTTTTAAATTTCAAATATAACATGGTACACAATTACTAGATCTTCACTATGACCAAGTTTATAAAATTGACTCAAACGACGATGCCAACCTTGTGCTTCGAATGGGTCCGTCAGATCTAATTTTGTTATCTTGGTCAACTTTTTCTGAATTCCAAAATTTATCACAGTTTATTCAACAATTTTTGTTTGATACGAAAACGCAACAGCATTCCTTAACCAGCAGTAACAGCAACACTGCAACAACGCAGTATTGTGGTGACTTATAAATTATTTACATATGCGACTCATTTGGCGGAACCGACATAGTTTGTTTTTGTTATCTTGACATTTTGTTCATGTCGCAACTTCTGGATACATATAGTAAGACACATTTGTTATCTTAGATTTCGTTTTATTATAGACAATATCTTCGCATTAATTAAGATATGTACGATAGAAACCAAATCAAACCTGCAATAAAAAAGCTAATTTATAGTCAGTGATATTTTTGTTATTTTTTGATATCGTATCTTTGTTGCACGAGCACAGTTTGATGTTTACTTCAAAAAATGCTATCACAACCTGTCACCGAGACGTAAATATGGTGTGGAAGAAACGACAACAATTTTTTTTACATGCTATGCAAAATTATTGTATGACCCAGTGACGAAAATTTCGTTATTATGCACAGATAATTCCCATTTTATTACTATCCTGTAACAGTAGCTTCAAAGTAATTATGAACTGTAGAAATTTCAAAATAGAACGAGACAAGATGCAAAAGATAACCTAAAGTTTAAAATCATTTGACATATCAGTGATACTACTACTGCTAAATTGTTACCACACTGATTGTGGCATTTGTGGCTAAACCCACAATTTTGATGCAAATAACGTTTTTTCTTAGAAAGTTTGGTCTCCAACTTTAGACTGTTAAATGTGATTGGGGTTTTGCCAGTTAGAAATATTTATTCTCAACTATAGACAATATAAACTCTGAGGTGTCTAGTATGTGTCATCCTATGCTTACTAGTGAACCGGTGTTAATTTATGGTTAAGAATTGAACGCATATTTTCTACATGCATCCAACTAATATTCTGATGGTCATTAGTATGTGACTAACTTAACTATTGACACATTCGTTCAAACAACCGAATTTGTTATTTCGTTCATCACTGTAACCATAGTTTTGTATTTAGAGTTCGTCCAACAAGTCGGCTTCGGAAATCGTGGGAATTCTTAAGCATGCCCAACATAAGGTTAAAATTGGCGGACCACAAAGTCATTACGTTATCAAAACGGAGCGTCATTATCAAAATTGAAAGCATCTTATCAGTCACCATTTCTACTAAATGTCAAAATGTCAATTCAGTCGGAAAAGAAAATTTTTTCGCTTGTTTACAAATTAGGACCAACGCAGTCTTTAGTTTGATCGGGTGCCGACAATGCCCGATCTATCCCACAAAACCTTATCACTTGTTTTTGCAAAACAAAAACATTCGCACACTCTCACTATCGGCGTCGCGATCACGTCAATTTTGGCAAATTTTGCCCGCCTCCACCCCTATCCCTGCAACTGTGCCACTGGCAAATGAGTGAGTCATGGGCGTGCAGTTAACCTGGTTGTGCATGCTTGGGGGCGGCGCCGGGGGCTATCGGGGGCCACCGGGGGCGGTCCTGGGGAGCTCCGGGATCGTCGAAGACCAGCACTCTGGCGGAGTTTGAACGGGCCCGCGGTTTAGCTCCATTGTTGTCCTCCATCTATCACAACCGGATCCGAAAATGAATATCATGAACTTAACCGAAACATTGGTTCACGCATGGCGACGACGCGACTCCTCTACAACGGCACAGTAGAAGGGCACCCGTCGAATTCGGGCCATCGTTTTGTTTTCACCAATTTGCGGCCCATTCGACTGACATAAATAAAAATATTTCGTGACTACGTAATCTGACAAAGACTACAAACAGCTGCAGCTGATGCGCACGCATCGCCGAAGTCGCTTTCATTGATAGGTTGCCAAATCCAACCCTGACATCATTTGGCAAAAATACGACCAATACCAGATATAGGTTGGAACTCGAAACTTCGTTTATGCGACTTACGAGCCATGGATTGTTTATCGCCGCTAAAGTAAAACGCAAAATATCCACGCTCACGGCTGGATCCGGGACCGACCAATCAGGAACGAATTGGCCCCTGTGACGTCATGCCTGGACGGCCAGATACGAAGCAAAAAAACCAAACCGCCGGTTCTCAAACCGAACAACAAAAATATGCCTTTCCCAAACCGGAATTATAAAACTGCGTTCCCAATGAAAAAAAATTAAAGCAATACTGACAATTTATAATAAATGGCAAAATTCACAATGAAATATATTAATAATTATGCATAAAACGTGAATCACTCTTCCCATAATCATAATCAAACTCAGTAAACACAAAACCGTCTAAAAACAAAACAGCAAAGAGATAAACCTCCTCTGCAAAAAATTAATCACCAGAAGATGGCGCAACTCTCACACCAATTATTAAATCCCTGCAACAAATTTTTAGAACAAACATTTTATACATAGAAATGGATAACATATTAAATGCCTAAACAAGTCTAAATCACTTTAATCAATACTTATTTGGTGGAAAGTTAGAATATTTATATTGTGTTTCAACACAAAAGTTACTCATAAATCGTTGAACTTAGCTCCTTGCGACTTGCGGTATATCACTTTCGTCAGTCTGGTTGTAATATTGTTCTCTTTTCATGAATAGGTAACGACAACGCATTCAGCCTTATCTAGTTCTATTTGATTTGTTTCGCCCCAGTTAGTTAGTAAACGATTTGATAAATGAAAATGCTTTACTAATTCGTCGCTCCCAGTCATGGGTTGAAGTTATTCATTGGACTTGTTTGTGACAGATTTTTACACTGTTTCGCATTTAAGTATACACTTTTGTGTACTCGTTTCTATAAATTCTTAATATTGCTTTCAAGTACTGATTTCGTCGTTTTAAGTGTGCACTTCCTTTATTGATACTCTAAAAACGACTGCTTTTTGTGACTCACAGACTAATTAAAAATGAAAAAAATGTTCTGATAAAACAGACACCGTTAGTTCTATCCCTGTGACGTCACGCGCTGAGAAGTCACATGACCGTATACAGTGTGAGATGAGTATTTTTTGGCGACCTACGTTCAAAATAAAGTAAAAATCACTTACCCATTTTTTTACATCGTTGAATCAACTCTACAACGTACAAATTCGTGAATAAATAAAAAAATGTATCCGGTGGGGCTACATCTTGTTCGAAAATAAAATTTGCGAGAAAAACAATTGCTAGCACATACACGAACACGAAGAAGTGTGATATATCACATATTATCTAATTATCTCTGTCCATATCTTTGTTTGTACAGTAATTTTTAATTAGATTCGGTCCATACAAAACTAGTGGTTTTACCAATCACGATTATGTCGAACACTGCATAAAATTACTTTACTCACCCCAATAACAACCAGTACTTCCATTTTGCTCGCTTAATTACATTGATAAGCCGTTTCATTAATGTTCTTGATTAATCGATTGAATTTTAATCTAACGTACTAACAACAATTATTATGATTTTATCTCGTTTCTATGTTGTCGTGTATTTGTATTGTTTACAGTACGACTTATCTAAACGGAATTAAAAATTCCATAATTTAGTTTAAAAATTTCGACCATTCCTTTAAATTGCATGACTGTCCTAATGTGCTATTTAAATTAGTAATCCCTATGAGATTGTTGCGTGTTTCACAGTTATTTATATCTGATACTATACTTACCTTGTTTACCTTTAATTTTTATCTTTTCTTCTCAGGGAGCCATTATTCCATGCACGTGTGTATAAAAAGTTGCCTAACTTTCACGTCGTATTTATAGTACGGAATGTGGTCATAGACACCGATGGATGACTCAATCTTGAACTCGATTGTATGTTGCATTTTGCATTCTCTTTTATTTTTTTTTTTATTAAATATGTCTAATATATGTAGATTTTTTTATTTCTCTCATTAATTCAAAATGTATTCATTTTGTTAAAGGAAAACGTGTTTACTCAGAGCTGGCACCGGATTTTCTTGCACAGAATACGCCGGATAATTGCAATAATGCAGCCAAACATGGTCGTCAACTTATAATTTGTATTCGCAATCATCCTTATCCTCATTCTCGATCATGCTTTCTGCACGTGGAGGTTAACAATTTGACTTTGCAAAGGGTCGCATTATTACTTTGCGCTGAGAAGGTTTATCAATTAGGGAAATTAGTGCTTTGACCGCGAAATTGACTCGTGTTGATAACAATACCTTCCGGTCCTTTGAAGGAAGAAATTGCTGTGTCAATTGAGTGTTTGTGTGGCGGCCTCTAAACAAACAAGATTCAATGCCCGCAAAAAAATATTTGGTTTTGGTCAAAAGTTAAAAATACATAAAATCGCACATTCGAAAAGGGGTGTGCACTATAATGAAGCCGCCTTCTACTGAAAAAGACATACTATAGTTGAAAATGACAAATTTGAGTAAATCGAGTAAATTAAAACCAGTTAAAGCTGTTTCATTTGTTTCATAGTCATATCTACATAAAAATTTGAAAACACTGTTTGGTTTTTAGAGACAAATGGTGACTTTAAGTATAAAGTTGTTTTCGAAGTGGATGTAATCAGTGCTGTGACATGGAGTGATTACATTCGTAACCTTGAATGAGGTTTTTTCAACATAATACATTTTACATTAACATATAAACGGCAAAGTATTAAAATACCGAAAAGCGTTTAGTTATAAATGGTTTTTACAGTAAAGTGAATAGAGCAAACCAGTAACTGTTTTATCTGCATTATGCTTATGTATGTAAATTGTAGTCCCATGTGTACGATTAATAAAACAGGTATTCCATGACTACATGGGTGGAGTTTTTTGTTGTTTTACAGCATTTATGGAATATTTTGTAGAAAAATGGAAATGTTTTACATATTTTGTGTCGAAGGCATATAATTTCGGACTTTCGATATTACGATCACTGACGTCTCGTACCGTATTACAGATCTAACGTGACTATAAAAACAGTTTTCAAAGAAGTTTAGTGAATAAGTTACAGAAAATTATAGAACCAATAATTTTCTCACAATTCCAATAACGGCACAAAGATAAGATAACCTTGTTTAAGTAATTATACCTACACTTATTAAAAAACTTAATTATCTCAAATTGCACTGATTAAACATTCCCCCATACTTAAAACGAATATTGCTTTTAGTTGAAGAAAACTAAGGACAGTGAGTGCAATTATGTTGTCTAAAAAGTGCGTACCGATGGCCACTTCCATTACTTCCGTTTTTTAATCAAAGTAATTACGATAATTAAAAAATTAATTATTAGCAAAGTGGGGCGTTTTTTATACATATTTTTCTTGAAACTGAGGAACAGCCTTGCACACGAGGTCTCTTATTTAAAAATCGACACTAGTAGCGGTTTTGTTTATTATATTAGGGCTAATAATATAATCACTTTACAGGTTAAAAATAGACTACGTTGGATATTATTAATCTAAATAAATAAATTTAAGGTCAATCTATTGCTACTTCCTGAGGCTAATTCAATATCGTATTTAGGATCTTAAGTTATGCTCGGGAGAACATAAAAATGCAACTTAAAAGTTCACTTCAAGTGGAATTACAAAAGTGTACGTCCTTCAGAACGCACATCGATTTAAGTGTTTAAAATATTTCGTGAATGCGTAAACTGTTACCCAGAAGGTAATAAAAACGTTTAGCTCACTTACCTCAGTCTACCTTATTTCGTATTATAATCACGACTGCTACATCAAAGAAGGCGTTGACGTTTGCCGCTTTATCAAAATCGGAATTATAATCCAATTTGTCAGAACGACGTTATGTACAATGGGATGATGTAATAAAAAAAAAACCAAAAATTTGGTCGATATATTTTATTTCACACAATTATTTATCAAATATATTTGAACGTGTTTTAGCTCGGCTTAATCACAGCAAATGCTTATAATACATGTAACATATATTCTGTACACATATCATTACATCCTGCTATATATATTTAATTATAACTTGGAGTCTGTTTTCATATTAAATCCTAATTTGGCTATAAGACACAAATTGGCAATAATATCAAAACTATTCGAGTCGTCTTATACATTTGGCATCTCGATGTGTCAAAGTGGACTAAATCTAATATTACTATAGTCATGATTCCGCTAGAAATAAATAAATTCGTCTATTATGATCTACAATTCAACTAAAATTGTGAATAAATAATAAATAAATTTATTTAATAAAATTGTACACGGCTTAATAAATCGCTGGACACTAAGTCTAAAATCTTAAAATGAACTGGGACTCAGCTTTAGTATTGTGATCATATGAAACGGTTAAGTTGGACGCGAGGCTTCTCAACATTATCACAAGGTAGTAATTTTAAAACTACACTATAACCTAAAATCAAGAACAAATAAATTTTGATTATTTTTCAGTCACATTGTACTACGATACAATAAATAAAAATAAATTAGTTAACCGTAAAGATCACAACCAAGTATTGTCTTTTATGCAGTCGAAGCATCGTGTCCAAAATGAGTCCCCAGTACCAGCTGGTTATATACATTGATCGATCTTACACGATATGACTTAGATATCACATTTTATACAAGGAAGATATAAGTGTACAAAAGACGGCTGTAAGATCTCTACCTAGTACAATACACCGAGGAAAATTAACTAAACTTGTACTATACCTTAACATTCGTCTAACGTAGGCACTTTTGTGGTTTGCTTATTCGCAGACAATTAAATTACATAATACTATTTATATGAGCAAACACAGATGCGCTACGTCAAACGTGAACTTAAACTGCAAATCGTTGGAAGCTTCTTTTGGCTAATTGTCCTTTGAGCCGGATCAAACCAAAGCAACCCGGCTTGGTCGACATTGCACAAACTAATTCGAAACTTATCACTCGACGATATGTCGTGTTACAATTATCTGGCGCTTCTCGTACGTTTTGGTGATATACTCTTGAGTTCCGTGTAGCGCGATCTGGAAGGCCTCTGCTGCTTTTTAGAATCACCACCTTGGTTGCGTCTTTTATAGATGCATACCCTAAACAGAAAGAGCTGTTAGGTCAGACATCCAAAAAGTTGTTTGATTACTATCGACACGTAAGTATTTATGAGCCTATTAAGTTATTAAGATGGTTAAAAACCGCAGACGGGGTTAGTGGGAGGAGTTGTGTGGGATAGGAACTCATACAAGTCGAATTACACACAAATTTGTAATTTCCTCGCTTGAAATTTCATTTTTGTTGTATATTAAATTTTTTAACGATGTCAGTGACATCTTGCGACGTATCGCACAACGTTGGGTATATATTCGCATGAAACTTCAAGGTCTGTGATTAATTTCAACTGTTAGTATTTATATGCTTCATGCAAGACAACTTCTGTTATGTAAGAGTTTGATTTTAATAATGGTAGCACGAAAGGCTCATTCTCACTATTATTAGCACACAGGAAAAGGAGGATGGTTTTTATTATTGTAATTATTTTTTTATTAAATATTACAGCTACATTAAAGTATCACTAGTAATAGAGCGTGTCCTTATAGGACCTATCTCACTGCGCAAGTCCTCAACAGTCAGTTAATAACAAAAAAAATCACAATTGCATAGTATTCCCCAAATGGTACGTCGAGTCAATATTTGGTTTTACCTACTCTACTAAGTAGTTAACACTAATGAGGAACTGAGGATAATACTTTTTTTTTAATATTGATCTATAAATAAATAAACTAATTTTTAGATGTACCCTGAGCTAACTAAACTTACACACCTAACGCCGAAGCAAGGCGAATTCGAACATGCACGTTTCTCGCCACTTCAGCGACCACTTTACAGAGGTATCCGTTCGGTTTCGCCTAGCCTCGTTCGTGCTTGTAAGTGTGATCAAAGCTTAGGGCACAAGAAACAAATGACGAGAATATAAATATCACGGATGTAGCCAGAAGTGGCTAAATGATCTAGTCATCGTTTGTCTATAAAAGAACTCCAATTAAAGAAAGTCCTGAAACAAAAAAAAAAAAATTAGAATCAAGAATGTTCTACGACATTGTCGACCTACCTCACCCTATGAATCCTGCCGTTAGAGAAATCATCAACGCTATCAATATGGGTGAAATCTGGCTAAAACTACTGGCTGCCGGTTTAGAGGAATTCATGGCAGACGCGTACACCGGTTTCGGAGTCGGCGATGGTGGATCGTCTACTGTGAGTTTGTTGTAGTACTTGTATAAAAACTCGAGGATGATTCCGTTGGTCCAGCCGAAACCTTCTTGGATATCGTACTCGCCGCCGCCGCCACGACTCCCAGGATTGGTCGCATCATACTGTAATAAAATGGATGATCACGGACCCAAAACAAAGTACAACCAAGTACCTTTTCGAACATGGTGTTAGACGATTTGTATGCTTTGTAGTTGGAGCGCACCCACGTTTCCGCGATTTCGAAGGCAAGTCTTTGTGCAACGGGATCGCCTGTGTTGTTCAAGCCCACTACCATCATGTGTTGTAGTGGTGGCCAGGCATTCGGATAGTCCCATTGTTCACCGGTATGTTCAACAGTCGTAGGAATACCGCCAGGGTACATCATAATGTTCTTGTTTTGCAAATACTTGAGTACCAGTCGTACTATTTTGTCTTTTTCGCTCTCCTTGTAGCACCCCGTCCAAAGCGGTGCGATATTGCTAGGGTAAAAGTAGTCCCGTTTTACCGAGTTCGACATGTCATAATCGAGCCATACGCCCACTTCTTCGTGCCATAGCACCGCAGTCACGGCTTCCAGCCAGTTTTTGGCGATTTTTTCGTAATACGCGGCTTTTTCTGGGGTACCCACGATATTGTGAAACTCGGAAAGGAGAACGGCGTTCCAGTACATCATCGCGTTTAAGTCCACCGGGATGATAGAACGGATTTTTGTGTTGAGTAAGTTGCCTAAAAAGAATTAGTTATTATGGGACGACTTCATTGATGATCCAGTTTACCTTTGTTAGTCGCATTTAGGACAAACCAACGACTCGAGAAATCCCAACCGGATTCCGCAGCTGCTTTCAATTCCGAGTAAAAGTTTTCTATCTGTTCTTCGTCTTTGAGTTTTTCCGCTGCTTCTACGTCCTCTGAGTAGGATTCGGGTCTTGGTCCTTTGGATCTATCGCCGTACGCAGCCAAAGTGTAATTCACCCCGTCCACGGTAACAGTTCTATTGTGATTGGTGAGCCAGTACTCAAATTCCATCTCCATAATGGGAAGGTTCGTTTTAATGAACTCTTTATCGTTCGTAAATTCGTAGTACGATTTGATCATTGGAATCATCAGAGGGGGTTGAGATCTTTGTTGATAATAAATTCGACCGCCGTTCGGTATGTGGCCATAGTTTTTCACAATGTAGAGGAAATTCTCGAGCATGCCTTTCACGGTTCCGTACATCTCCGACAATAAGAGCCCCTGCACGATCCAGTACGAATCCCAGTAGTAAAATTCTCGGAACCTCCCGCCTGGTACTATCACAGGATTTGGTACCCATATAATACTGTACAATTGCTGGTTCATTTCGACGTCCTTCTTCATCTTCCTTCCCAGTTTCTTCCAATAAACATTCAAATCCGACGCCCACTCTCTGAACTCCTTATCTTCGATCCTCTCCAAAAATTTTGGGTCTTCGATCCAGTCTTGGGGGTACCATTTTTCGAATTCCTGTCCTTCTGGTTCGAAAGTTGTGTTGACGAAACGCCTGACGGCCACTTTGTTGGGTTTATTGTTATGCTTGGCCATGAATTCGTCGAACCGCGCGAGCGTTTCCTTCGGTGAGTACCTCAGTTTCATGTCGACAAAAGTTTTGGAATCTTTGTGGATTTTTGCCCTTTGGATGGTATCAAGAAGTGGGCCATAGCAGTAGATGTCACTGTAACATTTGTTGGATTAAAAGCGCGACTGGCGGAAAGCCAGGAGCGGCAGGACCGCTCAACCTGGCCTATATCGGCTTGCATTGTGCTTGAAAAAATTTACGATGCAAGAGTAGACTGGACAAGGTTTCCCTTCAAGGAGATCTCGAGTACTGAAGGGCAGTTGCAAGGTGAGAACTTACCTATCACATGGTGGGGGTAGAGAATCATCACAGATGCAAATTAGGGCCAGGCTGAGCACCACCGCACAACACCTTAATTTGCTCATGTCTACTTTTTAGTTGTACTACAGTCACGCACTGTCACAAGTTAGTCACTAAGTCTTCAAACGCAGCTTACGTTCTCGAAAAAGTTCTTGAAGGAACTATTTTATTTTTCAAACGGTGAATTGCAGTAGTCGTAGTGAACACAGATTCTTCTTGGTCATTCCTGCGAAATGAAAATTTTTTCCAATTTAAAAAAATTTCAGCGGACGACCGATCGCGTATTTATGACACTTCCGTCTGAATGACTTTGCTACACAACCGCAATGAACAAGGGGAACGGACTGATATAGAGCCGACAGCGCTGAGCAGGTGATGCTTGTGCAACTGCTGACGTAAGCAGTGTGGTCGTGACGTAAGCGCCGTGCCCCCATAATTCTCGATTCCTATTGGCTGGGAGGTGCGAACACACCTACCACTAGTTGCAAGTCACCTGTTCAAGAAATCGCTAAACAAACAATAAAAGGAAAACCGACAAAAAACGTGCCGCGGGCCACAGACCGGATATCTACAACTCACGCATGGGAATTCGCTAAATCCCTCTTTTACTAACCGTAGTCGTCACACAGGGCCCAAATGTGGCAATACAAGAGAATGATGCAATGGTCCCTAAACATAACGTAACATGATTTGCAAACGGCCATATACTTGGAATTTGCAAAAACGTGGATTTTGACACATAGTTACACACCTCCAACTTTAGAATTTGCGATTAGATTACAATGGAGGTGGGGCATGTCACCATTGTTTTAATTGGTGCAATTTGCGATAACATCGCTATGCAGACACAAATTCCAAAGTCTAAAATGATGTCAAATCCGCTGTTGCATCAGATTAAAAAAATACTTCATGCGTAAATTTCTGGGAACAAACTATAGACGGGATAAATTATTATTGCGGTTCTAAAAATGCAACTTTACGTAATCCCTTTCCAAGTTTTTAAACAAACAGCAAAATATCCCCCATGTCCAGTATGATTCTAATTGTACCAAGAAAGATAGCAGGTAGCCCTACAGCTGTTTTTTTTTAACCTAGAATAGCAAGTTCTCTTCTCTTTTTCTTCAATGAGGCAAAGGATCAGAAAATAGCACTACCGTTTAGAAAAACAGATGCCTGAAGGTCTAAAACATCTGTTCGATCTGGCACGAATTGAATTGCTGCAAAAATAGCACTCTTGAATGCCACTTTTACGCGATAAAAACGATGTCGGGCCTACTATAGCATTTTAATGTTAAGGCAAGGTCAACCATTTCTTCCTTCTAATTAATATAAATAACAGTAGCTCTACGAGTATTACGTTCGCTACCAGAAATCCTTGAGCACTGTCAAAAGAAATGGGGTCAAAATACAGATTTAATAGAAATGGCTAAAACTTGGAGAACATTTTTACATGAACTGTGACAGCTAAAGGCCAACTTCCACTAGTGCAAGCAAAAATAACTCGTCTGCGTTGATCTAGTGTGAGCAGGCTTTTAGCAAACATGATTTTGGACTGGAAAAAGCAAACAATAGAATTTTCGATTTATATTGTCAAGGATAATCATCAAATAGTGGTGTGAGTAGAAGGTCAACAATAATGTTTATACGAACTAATCAGAACAAATAGAAAAAATCGTCTGTGAAAAACAGTCTCTAAAGTTGACATATGTAGTTATTGTGGAGAAATTCATGAATAGTGCACGTGATTGAAAACAATACCTTTTGGAGTGCTTAATTAAACAAATTACTGTTGCACTGTGAAGAGATCGCCGACAAAAAATAACCTTCTTTGTTTAGAACAGTTCCATGAAAATAAATCAGGTCATGCAAAATCGTGCAATCTTAGGTGTATAAAGAGCTATGTTTCTTTAGAAACAATTAAAGTGTAATTAAGTCTTTTAAGGGCTTCGCTTGCTAATCAAAGTCGTTTATTAACCACAATACATTTAATTACAACAGGAAAGCATTACAAAAAGTTTCATCCGTTTTTTTTTAACAACAATAAGTATCAACTGGTTTGATGCGGTTTGACAAACAGGTTCGCATGACATTTACGCGTATTATTCCATATTCATAAACCTTAATGAGGTATTTACAAACGTGTGGAAAAGCGATTTTTTTCAAATTTCCTCAATTATCGCACAATTATTGGAGAAAAGGTTATGTTCAGTGATCCAAGATGTAATCAAGCGTCGCCATTTCGTATTTGTTTCTAATTGGATTCGACTGGAAAAGTCTATTTCTGTTCCAATCACTTAATTTACACTTCGAATCCCTAATATGGAATAATTTTCGCATTCAGAAAATTCCACTGTTCATTACGCATGGTAAACAGAAGCAAGAGACATATATTGAGATTTCTGATGAAATCAATGTACAAATTACGTCTTTTTACAGTCTGTGTTCGCGCAGGTGAGAAAGGTTATATAACGCATTTTTGTCTGGAGACAAAGGCCGTCAAACTTTGCCATAGGATTGGTGAATAAGTTAATTTTATTATATTTTTTAGACCAGTACTCGTAGGTGTGCTAGCCTTGAAAGTAACCAGAATGGTTCGACTGCAGAAAAATAAAAGTAGGGTTAGAAGAATCACCATCTCCCTAATTCGCAATTCTTTGAAACTTGAACTTCATGTGAATACAATGACGATAAAAGCACGTACGTCGCTAGCAAATAAGCTAGGATTATCATAATTAATTTACAAGGTGTTTACTAATTGAATTTTTATCAACACATGAAATTAAAAAAACCCAAAAAGCACGTAAGCCCCTAGTAAACAAGCTACGATTGTCATAATTAATTTACAAGGTGTTTACAAATTGAATTTTTATCACAACCTATACGTAATTAAAAAAAACCTGAGTTTAAAAAAATAATCCCCCTTCAATCTTTCTTCGAATCAAGTCTTTTTATGATTGGGATAGTCACTTAGTCATTATTTCCAGTAACTGAACATGTTAGATACAAAGACGAACATAAATTTTTTTAGCTACATAAAAACCGGTATTGAAGGTGTGTGGCAGCTGATGGCAAAGAAAATGTGGTTAATGTATAGGTAGACTATGCAACAAAGAGGGCCGATTGCGTGACCTTGAATCAGAAAAAGGCAAGCATCGGTTACCAGAGAATGTCAATGGAATAAAAAAATTATTTACAATCTGGAGATTTAGAAATTTCAATTTAGATTTCTACACCATTTTGATTAGAAAAGGTTGTTCGCCTATTACATTATATTCAATAGAATTAGATAAAATGTATCGAAATTAAAAAAACCCAAAAATATTTAGACAGCGTAATAGATCAATAAATTAGATCAGATATCAGTATTTTCGAAATTGCAAATAATTCTAGGTTTTATTATTTACATGGATTTGGAAATACCTCTTCCTTAAAAATTCTATGTTTACGCGTGTCAAATATTTTAGTGTGCAAATAAATTGTTGGCAAATTATAAAACTATCAAAACACGTTTAGATGTTAACAATGACAGCTCTAATTCTAACAATGGCGTAATTTTTATAACACAAAGTCTTCTGTTTGCTTTATACATTCGAGATCCCGGCTTATTTCGTGCAAATATAATTACTAGAAGAATGCGCGCTTAGTAAACGTTAATTGCTACAAATTAGACTCGTACGATTCGATAACCTCATGTAGAAGTAGACTATACAAAGATAACATTGTCGATAAATCATAATTACCTTTACTGCCCTTCAACCGTGTCTTTCACTCATGTTCTAACTTAAAAACGTAGAACAATCATAAACAAAGTTAATTATCGGCGAGGAAGACAGCGCATTGTATTCAAAACGAACGTCAGTCACGAAAAGTGAATTAGAATTTTTTATCGAAGACTAGCACACTTTTAAGTTACTATGCGCCAAAAATAATTTTCGACGTGAGCGGCGTATTTGAAAGGATCTTGAAGGGTCAAGTCTGGTGGACACGGAGGTCACCGCATCGCCGTGGTGCAATACGCTTTGAATTACCGACGACTTCCTATGGAAGCTTACATCGTCAAGGAAGAACATTGTTTCTGCAATTCCACCCTCCATTACTCACACCATTGACTTTGAACTTCACCAATTACGCATAAATGCAGCCGGCAATTAACTCAGGCGTAAAAATATCGCCACGTGTGACGGCAGAAGTCATAAAAGTGTATTTTTGAATGAAATGCGTAAACCGATTGACCGAAATTGTTTAGTTATGTGTAATTAAAACGCCCAACAGACCAACGTGACAACAATCAGCACTTGATATTTCAGGAGTTATTTCTATACATAACCGCAGATGCTCCATGACGTCTGCGTTTCAAGCCAAGTCCAAGAACCTTGTTTTTCGTCCACACGCTGAAAATGCAAATTTTCAGCTTTAGGTTATATAACGATTTTTTGCCATGGGTGACTCAAAGCTAAACTATGTGCTTTGTGCAAGTAATATATTACGAAATTCAATCAGAATATCAGATGTTTTGTGTTGTATGTAAATTAAGGTGACCAGATTTCAGAAGTCCGCAATCGGAACATTAGTTTCCATTTCCATCGTAATCTGATATATAACTGCTTTGAACATTTTTACTTGTAATATACTAACAGTACTGACATCTGCTGAGATTTAAAACAGCGCTGACAACCGTATCGATACAAATTTTGTTCCCAATTTTTCACAAAATAAAGTTACTATTCATGAAAATTAGTGATTTATCCGAGGATTTATCTTTATTCTTATCAGATTTATAGAAATCGGAACATTCACGGAACAAATGATTTAATCGGAACATTTATTGGATGAAATTTGAAATCGGATTTAAAGTATTGAAATCGGTACAGTTCCGATCAAGTCGGAACGTCTGGTCACCTTAATGTAAATTAGCGATATAGGGACAGAAAAACCAAAGTGCGTATTATTAACATCAAAAAACATAATTTATGACATGCGACGTGTGAAACGTATATTCTGAGCCAGTAGAAAATTGTCACGCAAAATAGACAAAAATGTACCTTAGGATACATATTGAGATTTGGACTCGATATTGATCATGATCAGAGTGATAAAATAACTAAAGAACGATGTCTACCAAGTTTTATAGTGTGAAGTGTTCCCCAACCCGTCAATTTATATAATACATTTAATTTCAAGCTTCATGGGTTTAGCACCAGAAACGAAATCCCATAATTCAGACTT